AATCTAGGTTAAATCTGTAAAAAATGTAGCAATTCAAACCCCAAAAAATGTTAACGTATGTTTTTAAATTCATATTTAACAAGGACAAGAAAAAGTTGAGCTGGATTTCAATTTCTACAGTTTCGAAGGTTTTGCTCAAAATTTGATTCCTGATTCTGGATTTAAGAAAAATAGGGAAAAAATGGAAATAAAGATAGAAGAATGGGCATAGGTTACTACACATTGCAGGTCTCATTAATACAATTTTTCCCACCGTTTTATAGTTAGCACTAATGTTGAGCCCTTCTCCCTACACCACCACAACTAGAACTGATGCTTCAAATCTACACAGAACGTTATTGAAACAAGGTAGTTCCCACAAAATACAATAAATACACAAACAAACTAAATTAATGTTCCTGACTGTGCCCTTATGCAATAGCTTTACACTCTTTACAGCTGGGGCTGCCTGCTACTTTGAGAACCAAGGCTTTTATTTGTTAGATGTAAAATAGTCAACGTATTTGAGTGAGAAAAAAAAAAAAGATTTCTCAGTCATCTCATCACCTCAATCCGACTGTGAACCATATGGTAAACAGTTTGTGCTAGCATCGTATTTTTACATGAAATCCCATCAAAGTTTTGTCAGTAGTAAGGATTTAATGTAAAGATACTGTAGACAGGAGTCTGCAAAACCACTAACTAATTGCCAAAAAGATACAGTATCGTAACTGCAGTACCTTGTGGGTAGCACTCATCATCACAATCATTTTGTAAATATAAAACTTACTTGTGATTAGGGATGCACTGATTATTCGGCCGAGAATTTTGGGCCAAAAATGGACCAAAACAGGAAGTTATGATGATGCAAGCAAAACCCGTGGCCAACATGTCTGTGATGTTGTAGGCTGAGGGGGGCACTGCCGCCATCATTCACAGAAAACATCATCATCTACATTTACAGCAAATGATTTGTCTTTGTCTACGTGATGTGACAGCCAGAACAATTAAATACTCTGCCAATAGGTGGCAGCGGATGGCTACGAAAGCTTAAAAAAAGTGAGATTTCTTTAGTTTTTATTTCTTCAGATTGAAAAAGTAGAGGGAGATCTTTGTGTGTCTTTCTTCAATTCCTGTGAGCATATCAGCGTGTGTTCAACTAAAGAGGCCCAGTTTTCACACTAGTCGGTAAACTGTGAGTACATTGAAACAAGAAGATGACTATACTTCGTACTTTACATACTCTATATATTTTTTGTAATATTTTTGTTTATACTTTACAAACTCTACTATATATTTTTTGTAATATTTTTGTTTGGTGGTTCGCAATGGGCTTTTTGGTTGAAAAAGGTTGAGAAACACTTGGCTGGACGTCAGCCCCCCGCGCCCTTCCTTAAGTATCATTCTTTATTTTATAACACTGGAATTCACCCTAATTAAAGCCACACACATTTTCTATTCTGCTGGCAGACACTACAGTGCTAACACACATTCCAGTGCATGACACAAAGTAGGTGTGGCACCATTTGTTTACACACATTCAGCGAGGACACATCGCAAGTAAAGCGTGCAGATAAGAAAGTCACAATGTTATAATTCTGAGAGGGCATATCCACTTCCTGTACTCAGTCCAGAGCTCAAGCAGAAAGAGTCCAACACACAGTTTATGCTACAAATGCACATCCAAGCAAATGTAAACAAATGGTCAAACTCCGACCAGTCAGCAAGTATTGATTGTTTTGGTGTCACCCGTGGCAGTAATCTGATATGGAACCATCGTCCATCCTTTTAAATCACTGATAATTTGACTTTGACTTTGATAATTCCTGATACTGGTTAAGAGGCTCTGTGATGTTGTGTTCTGTATCTTTAACCTTTCTCACAACAGACAGCTACAGTGGAGGCTGATAGTATTTTGCCACATTCAAAAGAATGCAGCCTGGCCGGCACAATGATTAACGCTAGTAAACTCAACAGTACCTAGGGGTGTGTTCGTTAGCGTAGCATGAAGAGCCTGTTCAAAGACTTACTTCATCTTAAATGTGCCAATCAAGGCGGAAGTAAACAAGCACGAATCCTGTCTGTATGCAATCATTCCCAAAATAAATAGGGTATATATATATATATTTCATATATATGGATTTCAGGTATATTAACGTGCAGCGTATCACATGGTATAACAACCACGTGTAAATGTGACGTTTAACTGGTTTTAAAATGCTTTAAAAAAAACACTGACAGAAGATGAAATCAAATATTTCAGGGTAAATTAGAATATTACTAAAACAAAATGACCAAAATAAAGCACAGTGAACCTCAATATTGACCAAGTATTACACAGAATAAATCAGAATATTTAAAAAACAATTTGACCAAATGGTGCAAAGAATGACCAAACATTTTTCAAAGTATAGGGAAATATTGCCAAATATTTTCCATAAATAATGTAAAGTAAATAAGAATACCAAACAAGGTGAGAGAAATATTGCACTATAATTCAGAATAATTAAAAAAACATTAAAGATAGATTAAACATTGCAATATATTACCATAATTCAGAATATTTAAAAAAACATTAAACAAATACTGCATAGATAGATTAAACATTGCAATATATTACAGGTTAAGTTAATGCAGAATAAAGTTGAATATTTAAAATAAAATAATAACCAAATATTTCATACAATATCGCAAGTTAAAACTAACACAGTACAGTTTATGATAATCAGGATTCATTCCTGTAATATTTCAAGTCCTAATCCAAACTGAAATGAATGAAAAATAAACTCAAAAGACCAATTCTCCAACTCAGCAATAAACTCGATCACCAAAAGACTCAAAACCGATTCAATCTCTCAGACAGGATATTGTTCATCAGCAGCAAAGCAGCTGTCTATAGAAACAAGTGGGAATCAGTTTCATCAAAATCATCACAGACAACAGGAGGTAGCTCTGCACACACACGCTGTCACAGGCTTCATTATGTTCTCACAGCCGTACACTAATGACCTCATATCATCTCACCTCCACCACCAATGTATTGACAGAACAGTAGAGACACACTCATCATCACTATACTACCTGTGTAGAGACACACTCATCATCACTATACTGTTGCTTCATTAAACCCAAGACTAATTACTGAACTAGTCCACTCAAGGTTGTGTTTTCTGCCCTCATTTCTTAATTAGCCAGTATAATGTCCAGTTTGACCCATATAGAATTTCATAGTTGCCTGATTTAAATTGAAATATGTATTTATAATTATACAGATTGTATTATAATTACATTATAATACACATTATAAGAATTTTAGTTTTCTCCCATTCATGTGTTTGCTTATCTTTTAAAAGTATAACTTCATGGCTACTTATAAAATTGTCACAGCAACTGTACATCAAACACTGAAAACACGGCTGACATCGAGAAAATTCTAAATGAAGCTTGTGAATCTTTGAAAACAGTGTATAATTATCATTTACGATCACTTATGTGCAATCTTTTCTGAATATAATACGAATTCCTAAAACCACTGCGAGGAACATATGATAGAAAGAGCAGTTCATCGTCGACGAAACGGAGATGAAGGAAGTTCCATATGTACTTTTAAATCCATACTCTTCTTACCAACCTTATATACACATATACTCTATTATTGCAGTAGTAAATAGTAGTAAATTATAATTGCTAATTTTACCAAATGACTGCTATTTTACTATGAAAACACATGCCTAAAAATTATATTTAGCCTTGAATATGCTAAAAAAATACGTATCGTAAAATGCATGTATAGTTATGGAGTATTTGTAAAGTACATAGAATAGGGAGCAGACACCAGGGGTGTCAAACACATACAGCCTAATTAGATGTGAGTACAATCATAACATAATTATGTAAAAATAACAAAATGTCTGTCTTTTCCCCTTTGTTTTCATGTAAAAATTCATTAAATAAATATTCATACTTGAAATATAATTTTACAAAATATTTCATGAAGTGTATTTTCTTAATTTGAAAATTCATTGAGCGGCCCAGATTGAAACTCCAAGTGGGCCAGTTTTGGTCCGCGGGCCGTGTGTTTGACACCCTTGATGTACACAAAACAAAAATCACTGCCAATGTTCTTGTGGGGGTTTTTTTCTATTAACTTTTATGAAATCCATCCATACTGGGACATAAAATGTTTTTAAACTGAGATTTAGCAACTCTTCTACCTTGGACCTTGAAGCAGTTTTATGGCTGCGTTGAATGTCTGAGATTAACAGGAAATGGTGTTAATTCCCTTGGTTTAGTATCAGGATTTAAATATCAGTAAAAACTTGCTTGGGGTTTTGCTAAATGTTGTCCTACTAGCATTCAATGTTACATCACAAACTTTTTCTCTGCAGCGCCCCCTCTTTATAAATACTGTATGGCGACCGTTGGTTCCGCTTTTGTAAACACAGACTCAGCTCTTGCTTCGAACCTTGACTGAACGTTATTTGAAACGCTGTCATTCCTACTCTCACTGAAAAACAATCAAATTAAATGACTAAATGACAGTTAATTTTTCACACAAATTAAAAATAAATACCAGAAATTAACCACACCCCCACTTTTGGGATGCCCTGTTCAAAAAATGCCTAAACATTTTATTTTATTAGCTCGTTTGCCCTTTTTTAAAGGTGTGTATGTGTTGGGGTGTCATGTTGGGCCCCATGTCATACCTTTTAGCCCCAGGGCTTGAAGCCCTTCTATAACGCCTCTGCTGGCAGATAAAGGGAAAAAAAGGACACTGTATAGTAGCACTGTCTGTGTTTAAAATGCAGAGTCGTTGTTTGTTTTTCCAGAGAAGAGCACAGTGATGCCACAGTGTGAACTACGACAAAGCATTTACACATTTGTTGCCGATACGCAGTACACAGTACACAGCTGTGCTGTACTGCACTGACGCATGTTACGGCAACAATGTTTGGAAATAATCCCTAAACAGACAGACAGGCAGACAGGCAGACAGACAGGACAGGAATCACTGCTCTTACCGGTGCTGCTCATGGTGCCAGTGTGACGTCCTCTCTGCTCAGATGCTGCTCAGTAAATAGACCACTAACCACATTGACAGCGCATGAGTAGGGTAAGGAGGAGGACAGGGATGGTGATGGTGCCGCAGCCTCACTATCCTCTCAGTGGCCGGCAGCAGAATGATTGCTCGCTGTGTCCACACGGAAGAGTTCTGCAGAGAGCTCCAGAGAGAAACCGCCGCTGAGAGCTGCTGTCAACAGCCGCACTATGGACCTATTGTCCCGCATACACTGCAGGGGCTGCGCCGCCTCTGCCTTATTCAGCAGCAGCCAGTGCAGGTTGGGTGTGGGCGCACTGGAGAGAGAGGGAGAGAGGGAGGGAGAGAGAGAGAGGTGGGGGACGAGGGGAGGGGAGGCTGCAGTCAGTCTACAAAGTAAATGTAACGACAGTTCCGCTGGTTCCGCTAAAATAAAAGTCTTCATTAACGGAGGCAACGACCTACATAAGTAACTCGGTGAGAAAACAAGCTAAATAAACTAACAAGTCACGTTGAAAATGAAGGCCTACATTAATCAATAAAAGTGTTTAGTGCGTGTGTTTTAATAGTTTTTCTTCGTCTTTATTTTGACACGAATGTTGTAACCAATTCTTTAAAATGAGGTTGCTGACATCTTGTGGTCAAACCGAAGACTGCAACAACCGTCCCTTCCATTCCAAAATGTGTCAAATAAATGTGGTTAAAGAGATGTGATTTTTTAAATTGCTCTGTCCTTACTCTTTTTATTAAGAGAAGCCAACCAAATTTAAACATATTACGTCAATGTGTCAAAGTGTTCTTTCAATTTGTTTTGACATAAAAATGTAGCCACAAAACACATTTGGACTCTATAGTTAACGGAGTAAATCAGAACAGCAATTTAAGACCAGTATGACAGCTGAATTATCAACGAGACGATATTCATTCTTAAAACAAGCAGCAAATATTTAGACGATAAACATTTGTCGTTATGTTAAGGATTTAGGCGATAAACATTTGTCGTTATGTTAAGGATGGCAGAAATTAGCGTCACATAAACTAAACTGCGTGTTTGGTCCAATGAGTTTTCAAGGCGACAGAACGTCTGTGACGTCAGTAATGCGCGACTCAGCGCAGCATGCGATTCCCCTGCTGGAACACACGCTGTAGTACTAGACAGCTATAGTTCAGTTTGATACGTGTAAAACACAGTAACATGGAGGCCAGTGACGAAAGTTTTGGAATAGAAGTTGTTCTTATTCCAGAGGATAAGGAAGCGCCGTGTTGTCCGCATGGTAGGTTTAATTCACGTGTTTTGTTTTCGACACAAATGTTATCGCAAACCGGATGAGACGTCAAATACTTTTAGTTGGTATTTTCGTGGAATTAAATGACATTTCCTCTTTCGTCTGTAAATAACGTACAACTTTATTGTTTTTGTGTGCAGGTCCTACCTTGTTATTTGAGAAAGTTAGCCGAGAGGGAGCGAGTGGCCGGAGGTTTTACGCCTGCTCAGCCTGTAGGGACAGAAAAGACTGCAGTTTCTTCCAGTGGGAGGATGACAAGGTAGGTTAAGTTGTTAGAAAAGAAATCACAATTAAAAATTGCCATTCCCTTATTTTTATATTCCTGTAAAGGTGTCCGAAGCCCGGCGGTTGGCCAGAGAGGCAGAGAACAAGTTACACAGACCTCAGATCAGCCACAAAGAATACTGTACCAGGTGAGAGGGTTCACTCTCGTACAACTTCTCAGTTGTCAGTTAAATCCTTCAGTCAGAATGTCGACTGCCAATCTACTTTTTGGAGACGATTAATTTATTCATTAATTTCGTCTATGCGGTTCGATTAAATGAGTATTTAAATGGGCAAAACTTTTGAAAATTGTAATTGAATTTTTTTAATTGATTTGTGTCAATTCGATCTATCGTTTAAGTTGCTTTTGCATACACGTAACAAAAGTTACATTAAATGCATTTTTTCCCTGGGTCAAATGTGCATTATTTTTGCTAAGACATATATTTTAGGTTGCCAATTGCTTTTGTTACATTACATTTTGACTGTTAAATTAATAATATTGTGGCTAAGTAAAAAAATGTGACCAATAAATGACATGTTTGGTTTCAGTAAAAAAATAAATATGTAATATAAATATTAAGTAAAAGTAATTTATATGCTTAGTCTCAAATATTTATTATTATATTTCATTAACACCAACAGCCAAAAAGCTTCAGTTTACATCTTTGGAAAAAAATTATATTATTACAGGATAATATTAACTTTCGTACTTTCTACTTTTACCAAGGTTTAAAAAGTTCTCCTCCCTCTCATCTGATGAGAAGATCTTCTGTAAGGAATGTCAGACTTTGCTCCTGCCCGTCCAGCGTGACGCCCACTTGTCTCACAAACGCGTGGTTGTCACTGAAGCTGAGCTGCTGAGGCCCAGTGTGCTGCTGTCTCCTATGAACAACAAGAAGAGCAACGCCCAGTACCTGTTCACTGACCGCAGCGCAAACTTCCTGCTGGACACATTAGCTGCTTTGGGTTTCAGGAAGGTGCTGTGTGTGGGGACGCCCAGGTGAGGGAGCTCTTTACTTAAAAAAAAACCAACGTGAGCCTACAGTATGTTTACAGTCATTGAGAGCAGCTTAAACAACATTATATTTGTTTTGCTACTTTTAATGAATGTTTATGAACACAATTATTAAGAACAGATGAAAGTCAATGTGATTTTTTTTTTCTCCCAAGACTCCAGGAGCTGATCAAGTTGCGAAACCTGGAGCAGAAACATAAACCAATGAAGAGTCTGCTGCTGGACATCGACTTCAGGTTAGGATTTTAATGATGCTAAGGCATGTGACTATACACTCAACTCACAATATGTTACAAATGACATGTTTTTGTCCAGTATACAATTTTATCACAGAGCTCCAGACAAATTATGACCTATTTGTAAAAGCTATGCAAAGTACCTCACTGCAATTGTTATCTTAAATAACAAAAAAATGCAAATTTCTTTACAAAACAACTGCACGTCACTTTTTATGTCCTCTTATTAAGAATAAAAATATTTAACAAGAAAATAATATGAAAAAAATATTACAAACACAACGTTGTTTTATACTCAGGAATTGAAGAAAGCCACACATGAAGATTTTTAACAACTTTAAGTCACTTAATTATTTTTTGTGTTTATGGCTATCTGCTGCCGCCTAGTGGAAAAGCAGGTATTTTCCTTGCCTGTCACTGTCACATATACAAACAAGGACAAATTAAAATAAATAATTCAGATTGATTTAAGTGATATTGGATAATTTTGCATGGTATGGATTATAATTCTTAAGACTCGCTAATCCGCCAGGCCCCAGTGGTTGGGAACTACTGCCTTACTGCTTGAAAATATATAATATTTGACCTCATTTATCTGTGATGTAGCCTGATTCAGCTCTGATATGTTTTGACTACCTTCAAGGTATTTACTGTTTTTTGTAGTGTAACAGGACTGTACACTAGAGATGGTTCGATACAACTTTTTCTTGTCAGATACAGCAACTTGGAATTTCTGTCGATACCTTAAATCCACCCGATACCGTCTTTTCTCTTCCACTGCCATTGCTGAGGCGATAGTGTCCCTTTTTGAAGTATGTCACGCAAAGTTAAGTTGAGCATTTGGGCTTAGGTATGGGACTGAAATGTTTGACCAATATCGGCGCGATACCGATCGTGAACACCAGATGGAGCCATCCCTACTGAAGACCGCTGACATGAACCTTTTACCAACTGCACACAGTGATATCCAGAGTATCACACAGTGCTAAAGAGACAGCTGCAGGTGGTTTGGCCACACTTGGTTCTGTGGCGGCCTCAGGAACCGTACGGCTGGATACAGTGGTTCAGTGAACCGGTGGTGAGCTCTGTCAAACACCGGTGTGACGGCAGCCGAGAACTTCTGCAGCACAGCCATGGTGTCAGCGTTGTAGAACATCAGCTGCCCTTTGTCATAATTCACCCACACCCCCACCTTAGCTGGGGCTGTTTGCCCCACGCCGTGGCAGGCGACGTTCCGGTCGTTGTGCCATGCGGACAGACTGCTGTCACGCAGTTCCACACACCACGAGTTTCTGTTGCGCCCCAGTTTGGCACCCTTGTCCTTGCCCTTTCTCTGTAGGCTGGTGTTGGCCACACCCACCGCCCAGGCCGAGCAGCAACTCACGTCGACCTCCCAGTAATTTTGACCTCCCGTTATCCGGGACGAACCCAGAGCACAGCACACTTTGTCAAACTGAAGCGGGTGATCTGTGACCGGGTGGTCTGAGTCTGAAAAGAACGCACCCCGTCCATCAGAAGTCACCGTTATCTGGTTATGGCACGTCTGCCTGTCAATCACCACAGGAATGGAATCTGTAAAGTAAATTCAGAATCATTTTTTCAGCGAGAAATCTTATACAATTAGTTCTCGTAGTAATAACCTTCCTCGACTATCTAGGGCTGGGTATATCGAACTTTGGTTCTTTATTGGCACCATCCGAACTGCTTCCGTAGTACGGTGTAACAAAATATGCCTCGTCTTTCGGTACCCAGATGTTAATCACAAGATCAGGATCGGTTCATGCTGTCGGTGATTAGCTGTTGCATAATGCAAGTTGCTGTGTCGTGTCGGAGGCAACTAAGCTGAAGCCCTGTTGCCTTCGACGCGTACATCGGTAACTGTCGTCTAAACGTGGTTAAAACAGCGCAATCGTGAGTGAATCTGACAACAACGGGTGCTTTGTAAAGAATCTTCAAAATAGTCAGCCCTCTGAACGACACAATGTCATCGTTACTGTGAGCGACTGTCACCCAGAAACATGATGGAGCAGGATATCTGAAGCAGCAACAGCGGAAAGGTTTGGGTTTTGAGCGCGCACACAGACACAGACAGACTAGCCTAGTCTATGTTATTGATTGAATCGGAAAAAAGTATCACTCACGAACCGGTATCGAAATGAAGGTACTGCTATCAAACATTTTTGCATCGAATAGCAGAAAGATTGAAAGGTCAGGTTTAAAAGACAGTCGTGAGACCTGCTATGACATGAGTTTGAGAAACTTAAAACTTAGTACCTAGCAACAGTGTCTTCCTCTGCAGCTGCACTTTGAGGTTTTTAAAAACGGCTGATAATGTTTTCAGGAGCCTCTCAAATCTCTTTTCATTCAGTCCAATTTCCTTTTCAGAGGGATCTGGTCTCTTGGGACTTTAACATGAAATAAAAGAAAAAAAAAACAAACAAATATTGCGTCATATATTAAAAGTTGAAAATCCTTTGTGTCGCGGAGCGTTTTTTTTACCTCACTGTACCACTCTGACCCTTGAGAGGAGAAAAAGAGAAACAGAAAAAAATCAGCTGTTGAATACGGTTCAGTTGTGGTATAAATGACACGGATCGACTTATCAGACCTCATCTTCCTCCTCTTCCTCTGTTGAGCTCTTGCGGATAGATATTTCTGTGCTGCTGATGCTCTTGGTGACCTGGTCCTGGTGCTGCTTCCAGGTCTTCAGAACGTTGTCCAGCGTGGTTCTGGTCTTTCTCTGGTCCAGCTCCAGTGAGTCCAGAACGGTCTGCTCGTCCCTCTGCAACACCGCCCGCATTTTCTCGTAGTGCTCCCGGACCTGCTGCTTCATGGCCTCTGTGCTCCTCTGCAGTAGGAATAATCGAGGAGACAGTGAGTTTATTTGGACAGTGGTGTTTTGAATTCATACTCACAGAGAGGTCAGAGCTGCGTTTCTTCAGAGACTTGATGTGAGCTTCAGTCTTTGATTTCTCTGCCCGGAGCTCCTCCAGAAGCCTGGACAGCTGCTCCTGAAGAGGGCAGAGGAATTGTTCTTCACGTCAGTATTTATAATTTGAGTCCCATGATAGCAATGTGTTTATACAGGCGGCCCTCGGTTTACGACATCCTTGACTTTTGGCGTTTCGGGGTTTGTTGGTCAGACATTATTTTAGGGAAAACAAAAACCGAAACTGATCACATAAGAGAAGTTCAAGAAGATCACTAAAAGAGAAAAGGTGGTTTTCAAAGCTCTGTTTGCATTTTGTCATCAATGCATATGAAACTGATTCAAAAACCACAGTAACAGTACGATATTTGACCTTCTTGTTGACAAATTTTATTTTTAGAACATACCACGCGGGCACCTTAGGTAGTCCACGGGGGCAACCAGGTGCCTGCGGGCGCCACCTTGGTGACTCCTGTTGTAAGGGCTCAAGATCATTTTAACACATTATTTCATTAAGACTATAGATATTTTTAGATGAGAGTATAAGTCGCACCAGCCAAAAAAAGCATAATGAAGAAGGAAAAAACATTTATAAGTCTCTCTGGAGTATAAGTCGCACCAGTGCGTTCTAGCGGCTGTCAGTGCGAAAATAACAAACGTGTAAATTTTCAGTGGTACAGCAGTAGCAGATACTGGTAAACAAGCCTAGAGTGCCCTCTGGTGGCTGTCAGTGTGAAAATAACAAACATACATCTGAAAAATGAAAATACAAATGAAAATACTCACACTCGTAACGGCACAGCTGGACAGCCACTGACTAAGGACCGTGCTGCAAGTTTTTTTTCCCCGTGTTGTCGCTCAGTGTTAGATGTGGGCGTAGCGAGTGAAGAGAGACTGAGCCGACAGGCTAAAGCAAGAGAAACAGTCCTCGGTATTGGCATTTTGTATCAGCCCGCACTCAAATGAAAATACTCACACTCGTAACGGTTTGTGTGAAATGCTATCACGACATCGCTATTTCTGTCATTCATCTACTGCCACTGTACCTTGGAGCGCCTGGCAGGTTTCTTCCTCTGTAGTTTTGGCGAGCGTGGGAATGGCTGGACCACCCTGTCACTATTAGAGACCTGAGGAGTGAAGCCCAGTCCACTGGCTCCAGCAGGTGGCGTTTTGCAGCCACTCTGCACAGACTCAGACTCAGCAGCCGCTGATCGTTCACCAACAGATACGGATGCCTTCTCCGCCATTTCTTAAGACAAAAAAAAAAAAAACACACGAAGCTTGTTGCAAGTAAAAAAGAAATCTGTCATTTGCTGTGGCTGTTTCTGCAGAGGAAACCAGTTCATCTGGTTTGTGGAAAAAATCGGAAAGTCGTTTAATCCTTCCAGTTGTTGTTTACTGAGGACAATCGCTGTAAAACATATGCTTTACAATTACAACAAATCTTATATATTTAATGTATTTACTGCTCACCAGCTACCCTTACCTGGTATTTGCTTTTTCTTCTCTGGACAGTGACCGTATGAAGGAAAAAGTGCAGTAAGGGTGTGTACGTGTTTCTGCGAGCTTTTACCTGCAAGTCACGCCTCTGGTTCCTGATGTGCGTGTTTTTTGTCAATTTTGTACATGCCCAGACCAGATTAGTCCAGACTTGACTTTGCATATTCGTGTGGAAACAGGAAATGGGAGAAAATGCATCACTTTGTCAATCTCTGTTTCAGATATGCCCAGTTCTACAGCCAGGATGAGTTCTGTCACTACAACATGTTCAACCATCACTTCTTTGGTGGAAAGGTACTGTACAACCTCAGACCCTTGAGGTTTCCTCAGACTTGTTCTATATTTGTTAAAGCATCGTCTCCTCTCAGGCGTCCAGCTCAATCCTGCAGTCTTTCCTCAAAGAGAGCGATGGAGAGAAGGTTGTGATGGTGGCCGACCCGCCGTTTGGTGGTCTGGTCAAGCCTCTGGCCAACAGCTTTTCACTGATCTCACAGACGTGGAAGAAACTGCAGGGGGACGGTCAGTATCACTGTCCATATTCATTACGACGTTTTGGAGTCACAATCTCAATTATTGTTATATATTCTTTATTCTGTAGTATATATTGATATTTTTATATATGTATGTGTATATATATATATATATATACACAAACGTGTATAAATGTATATATATGTGTGTAAATATGTTTGTTTTGTCTGTTTCAATGATACATGTTGATAATAGGAAAAAAAAAGTGCTGTACGAGTGGATCCAATGTCCTGCCTAATTCTTAAGGTATTTGGAATTTAAAGACGAATGCTTTTTTTTTTTTTTCCTCCCCTTCTTTCATGTGAGCAGTTGTCGACACTGATATTCCTATGCTGTGGGTATTCCCGTACTTCTTCGAGCCCCGTATCCTGGAGTGTCTCCCTACATTGACCATGTTGGACTATCAGGTACCAATGGCACTTTAGCTGTTTTTTGCTGACTACAAATTCAGATTCAACACTATTTATACCTGTGTGGTCATTAAGAGAGCTAAGAGCACAACATCGAAGAATTATATATCCAAAACAAACCAAAACAGAACAGCATAAGAACTAAGAACAAATCATGTCATACTGTATATAAATAGATTTTTTAAAATAAAACAATATCAAGATTTTTATCAACATTTTTGAAGTAATTAAATTCTACATATAAAATATTAGGTGAGCATCTGCTAAAATGAAGTGAATTTAAATTTGCTTTTTGACATATACTGTAATAGTTGGTCGGTTTCTACTGATCTAGATGGACTATGACAACCATCCACTGTACAAACATGGAAAGACTGGCAGGAAGCAGTCTCCTGTCAGACTCTTCACCAACATTTGCCCGAAGGACGTCGTTCTGCCTAAAAGCGAGGGCTACAGGTAATCAATAAATCAGTGGGTCCCAACATTTTTTGACACCACAAATTTCTATTAGTAGCTGTCACTGGTGCAGTCGCGTGATCGCAGCCGTCAAACAAGATATACAGAATACAGATGTTTTAAGATCATGTGTTTGATCAGAATTTTCAGACCACCCTATTTCAATGTCAGGCGACCCCGCATGGGGCGACGACCCCAAGGTTGAAAAACACTGGTCTAAAACATGGTTTCAGGCCTGCGACAATAATCAATAAATCCATTGATGGCACAAAAAGTTCATAATTTTGCTGGCCTCAATATATTGCTATGTCCATGTGTGTTTGTTTCCCTCATCACCAAACAGGCTGGATGACAAGAGGGTTCACTCCATAGTTCCATAGCAGAATGGGCGGAGTAACGAGAGAGTGTAACTGCGCTCTTTTTTTTTTTAGTTTTTATAAACATCTGCTGCCACCTAGAGGAAGAGTATTTAATTGTTGTGACAAATATGTTAATAACTAGCTGTGTGAATGATCTATATTTTTGTTTGTTCTCTTTTAGGTTCTGCTCAGTGTGTCAGAGATTCGTCTGCGTCCTGAACAAACACTGTGCTAAATGTAACGTCTGCCCATCAAAGGTATTGAAAAAACATTAGTACATACATTGTAGCGCATGTATTTTATGAGTTTGAAAAAAAAAAAAAAATAATAACATTCCGTTTTCTGTGTACAGGATGGTCGGCAATGGAAGCACTGCTCGGCTTGTGAGAAATGTGTCAAACCATGTATGTGTAAATTGGATAGACAGTGGTCCCTCTCTATATCCCGGTTCTCCTTTCGCTCCTCTCGGTACATCGCAGATTTTTTTTTTTAAATTCAATCTCGCAAGTTTTTCATTATTTCCAAATATAGCAAAATAAATGATAATTATACATACAAAAGTTTTGGCTTCTTCTTAATTTTAAATTGAGATTAGCACATTTGCGAACCATTGCTGGTAGCTTTGTTTACCTAGACGAGATCGTACACAGCATACCATTGGCTAGTACAATGCGTACTCGGTGTACTATTGGCTAATTGAGCATGCTTTTTCTGTTCCTCACGCTGATTGGCTCATTTATCGTAGCATCTCTCATCATCTCCCCTTGTCTGTCGGCCACTCTCTCGTTCACTTCACTCTGCGTCGCCATTCTACAACTCTACTGCGCGTATAATTGTGTGGGAACGGGTAATACAGTCTAGGGAGGGTTGACAGTATGGGGGAGGTTAATAAAGGGGAAATATATATATAATATATATCAAATATATACATAATATAATAACTATCTCGACTGTACTTTGCGATTTTTCCCATTTCGCTGTGGGTCATGGAACGCAACTACAGCGATTGGAGAGGGAACACTGTAAAATCAAAAATTCAAGTTTTATTGCATTTTCTACAAAAAAAAAATACATATATATATATATATATATATATATATATATATATATAAATATATATATATATATATATATAACATTGATACACCGTGCTCTTCATTTATACGTATTTTCTCCTCCAAAGCCTGGATACACTGTCAGACTTGTGGCCGCGCCG